GTGAGGACGACTGTACATCCAAAGTAAAGCTGTGAGCAGTTTCCTCTCCTGACTAAAGTTTTAACGGAGCCGTCAGCATTCTCTGAGCGTCCTCGGTGTTTGCACTCCTCCGTATAATCTCTGTAATGCTGCATGTTGCTCGGCCTGCGTTCGGCTTCGGAGGTCGTAAATCAGAGTTCAGAGCCGCTTCTGCTCCGGGGATTAATGTATGGAAAGGAAAAAACACACACACACACACACACAACGTACATGTCGGCTGTTACATAACCGTCTATATCTGATGAACAAGCCTGAGAACAGAGGGTCACAGACCGTATAGGGAGGAACGTAAAGACAGATAGAGCGCAGGAATGTCAGTGTGGTGTGCAGAGGGCGAAGGGAAGACGATAAGAGCTGCTAGCATGAGAAGGAAACGCCGAGAGGCAGGAGGGAGCAGAGCTCTGTTGTCAGAAAGTCCAACAAAACGCCATGCAAGACGATCCAGAGGCGCTAAAACACGTCCTGCAAACTGACTTTCACTCAGAAGACATTGTGTAAGAGTGGCTCCTGCACACACTCAGACACACACTCAGCGAGCTGATAACACTTATCAGCGCCGACCACAAAACACACAAGCGCCACACTGCTGCTGCTTTATGGCCGCTCTCCGCCGTGGCTCACATTCGAGGCTTCGTGTGCGTTTATTGTGCTGCGCGTTCGGTCAAGTGTAACTATAAAAAGATAAGCGCACACTTGTGAGTGTGCAGATTGACAGAACGCTCACACTGGAGCTCCGAGGCCGACCTCCGACCCGCTGATGTAACCGCTCGGCCCGGTTTCCTCGCTGCAGGGAGCAGAGATAAGGCCGGCTTTGATTTTAGTGCTTTCATTTTGCCACCAAAGAAAAGAAAACTGAGAATAATTACAAATATAATCTGTGTTCGTCGCCACAATAGTCGTCGTTTTAGGATTCACGTGTGTTTATGTGGACAAAAGTATTAAAATGAAGGTTCAGTGTTTATCTGAGACTTGGACTAAGATCAGCGAAATAGTTTCTTTACTGTTCATTTCAAATAAAACTGGAAAACTGTGTGATGTTGGCTTTCAGTTCCACTCAGGCTGAAAAAAGCAGAAATCTGAATTTATCATCACATGAACATAAACTGGAGCTTTTTTTCCACTGGAGTCATTTTTCACGGCAGTAAAAAGTCCTGCACCTCTGTGGAAACATGAAGAAGTAGAGAAACCAAAACGTTAGAATGCTGTGAATAAAAAACAAAGAAAAGGTGAATTTATTTGATTATTAGTTTTATAAACAAAGTGTTTCCAGGTCGTATCATCACTGGGAAAACGTGGTCATTTCGTCCGTTACACTTCTTCTCTGAGCCCAGTTCAGCCTAAAAGTCTCAGAGCTTTTGTCTCCTGACTGTCGGTTGCAGACGAGTCCCGTCTGGTTGTTCGGTTGTGCTGAGGAGCATTTTTCTGTTTCTGACAGAATCTAGTCGGTGTGAAGGGTTTGTTTGGGGGATTTTTTTATAATGAGATGAAAAAATGTGGTTAATCTGGTGAGTTCATGGAAGTCGACCATCTGACGATCCGCTCTGGTTTCACAGTGTTTGGCTCTGATGGATGATGTCGTTTTGTAAGATAAAAACAATAAGATAACACACCTGTCAGACCTGTTTGGGTTCACATGCTTCAGATGATTTATTCACTTCCATCGACACCAAACTTATTGTGTTTCATGTGTTTTTCCAGGAAGCGGCTTCGGCAAAAAAGGCAAAGAGCTGAGCACAGAGCGAGACTTCTTCATGAGGATGAAGTGCACGGTGACCAACAGAGGACGCACCGTCAACCTCAAGTCCGCCAGCTGGAAGGTAACGGCTGCACAGCTGCACACACTTCTTACAGACATCACCTCCAGCTGCACAGGAGGTCTTCACATCAGGAGAATGACTGTAAAGGCCGCACAGGTCATCAGAAAAGTTCTTCTCACACGACTCGCTCCTCTGTTCAGTCACTCGTGGCTTCTGAGCTGTGATGAGAAGTGCGAATTTAGCTTTTTACAGAATTTAGTTTGTGCAAGCAGTTTATTTTTATTGAATGTTTAAATAGGAAATGTGGAATGAAGTGACTTTTAGACATCATGATCTGAAGCTTTAAGTCGGTTCGTTTTTCCTGTGAAGGATCCACCACACAGGGTTAGTTCATTCTGGTTTTTACAGTTTGTGTAACTGGAGGGAGTTTCCTGTTGTCTTATTAATCCCACTGCTCCAGAAATTCATCTTTGGCCTTTAATTAACTCAAATACACAAAGTAAACACAAACAAACAACACAATATGTGTTAGCGTCCAAAGTTCTTGACCTCGGAGTTAGTTTCACAAAACAGCTAACAGCACAATGAGAGCCGATCCGTCCTCAGCCTTGGTCTTTATGTGTGAGCTCCTTTCTCCTCCTGCTGCCCCCTGCAGGTGCTGCACTGCACCGGACACCTGCAGATGTACAACAGCTGCCCTCCGCGAGTGCTGTGCGGCTTCAAAGAGCCGCCGCTCACCTGCGCCGTCCTGATGTGCGAGCCGATCCCACACCCGTCCAACATCGACACGCCGCTGGACAGCCGGACCTTCCTGAGCCGACACAGCATGGACATGAAGTTCACCTACTGCGACGAGAAGTGAGCACGCAGCCGCACACGTTACAGCACGTTGAGCAGGAACATGTCACGATTAGGAAGGTTTCAGCTTAAACCAGGTGTATGTGGTGAAGTCTGCCCAGTAAGGAGCTGATCTGATGATCACACTGAAGCACTTTGTTGAGTCTGTGCCAATTAGAAATCAGCAAATGTAAGTAATCAAATGTATTTCAGCTGGTCTGTCTTGACAGTTCACATTATATAATGTAATAAGCTGCAAGTCTGCTTTTATTTTCATTGAGAACAGCAGTTTGACCTCCGTGTACGATCACCATCAGCCCAGAACACTGACTGAGCAACGATCAGCTGAAAAATTCACAAAGACTTTAGAGACTGATCCGGTTCTACATGAGGAAACACTGACGCATGACGTGTCCACCAGTCAGTGAACTAAAGTTACACTCGTCTTTTGTGCAGGATGTCGTAACGCCATAAATCCTAAAAACAAAAGAAAAAAAAATGAGGCTTGTATTTCTTTGTTTGCTTATTTTTTTAAACTAAAAAAACTGGTGTCAGTGTTTTCCCACCGAGGAGTCACTACTGGGAGGAAAACAAAGGGACCAAATAGTGTATCTGACTGTTTACTGTTTAATTAGTTTCCTCACAGCCTGCAGTTCAAACCAGAAGTCTGTTGGTTACGATGCCAGTGAGAAGTTTTTCTTTTTTGCAGGCTCGAGGTCAAGCAAAGCCACATTCTCACATGAAACATGCAGCACAGAGTAATTTTAAACAAATATCTCTATTTTAAGCTTAGATTTTGGGGTTAATTTTCTCAAAAGACCTGAAATTAACGCGAGTCGTTGGACAAGGATCAGAGGAAAGCTGGTTTGGAGGTCCAGAGGGTTCATCAGCTGCTCTGCAAAAAAGTCAATAACTGACCGTTAGACTTTGGTAGAGCTTCAAAGTGTGTCTTATCAATAAAAAGACTTAAATCAGAACATTATGAAACACATTCGAGAGCGTGAAAGCAGAAAGTGCATTTTGAAAAAGAGTCTCCTCGGTTAAAGAACATCAGCGAAGCTTCACTTTGTGGGCCGGTGCCAGTTAAAACACACCCAGAACCACACACAGCGGAGGCCTTCTGACTGATGGCATGTTTGGGCTGAATGAGTTTGACTTGGCAGCCACGTGAGATGAGACATTAACACCGTAATCGGACGCTGTCACGACACCGGCGGAGCTGCCAGCTGTTTCTGATGCACACGAACGAGGAGTGGAGCTGCAGCGCTTCCATCCAGATGATCAACGGTAGTGATAACCGTGTTTATGCTGCACGCTCAGGTCGGTTCAGACAGGAGCAGAAAAGTACAGAAATAGAGTTAAACACTATCAAAGAGTCATAAAAGTTCATCAAGTGAAATAAGAGAAGAAAAAAGGCCAAATACGGAGAAAGAACAGGTGGAATAAAAGAAAACAGACGGTGGAACCATAAAGACCAGGCCAGCAGTCATAATAACATAAATAACTAAAATAAATGTGTAAATACATAAAGGGCAAAAGAGAATGAAATGAACAGGTAAGATCAATACAATGACAATATTAAATGTGGTTAAAAATGAAAGCAAACAGGAGGCAGAAGCTGAAGGACACAGTGTTGGACACTGGTTGGTCTGCAGCCGTCCTTATTCTGCTGCAACGTCATTAGCATCCAAGCTAATGACGCTTCTATTAAATATTGTCATAAAGGAAATAGATTTGGAGAAACCTGCTCAGAAAACAACTCTTTTAAGCAAACATGCTGGAAAGCATTCTCTGCAGACCTGCTGCACATATGATCCCAATTTTCACCAGAACTTATCAATAAATGGAGGAATTTGAAATGCTAACACTGCTAACACTTCTCCTGGTTGGTGCGACTTGCTGAAACCTTCCCTCTGTCTCTCTCTGAAGTGAGAAGTCTCTTTGCTCTCCCTTTGTGGCCCTCCTCCACCCCTCTGCCGGCTGAAGGAGCTCCTGGTCCCTCCTCTAATGAGTCCAAGTCCCTGCTGAGCCGCCTACAATAAACTCATTTGCGTAATTAGAGGAGAAGATGTCGGGCAGCTATCAGACGGGACCGAAAAGGCCCAAAAACAGAAAACGGGTCCTTGTTCACGGTGACGCACAGTCCAGAAGAAACCTTTGTCCTGCTGAGCAGCTTGATAAGATTACAGGTCTACGTGCTGCTGATGCGTTTCATCGTCACTCCTCATGTCGGCAGGAAAGAAATACTGAGGTAGAAACCAACCAGTGTTGTGGCTCCAAGATGGCCGCCGATGGACGAACGATTTCACTTTGGGCGCCTCATCGACACGGCCGATATCAGACGCTACGCTGGTTTTAGGAGGCGACGCCGTGCTGGCTTCCCTCCACCGGCTCCTCGTCTGCTTTAGGATTGATTTGTAGAGTTTGCTGATCGTTTCTGAAGCTCGTCAGGTCACGAGTTAATTATCAGATCTGCTGACTGTCCCTAAGTCTCAAATATAGGCTTCAGATCAACATCTTCCTTTAAATCGCCTCTTAAAACCCATTTTTATTCATGTAATGTCTATTTTAGTTGTCTATTTTTAATATCTAATCTCTTTCACGCTTTGTTTATTGACATAGTTCCGTATTTATTATGTTTGTCATGAGAAAAGAGGAATGAAGCTCATTTTAAAACGATGAAGCTGTTAAACAGCAGATAGTAGGCGATTTAAAAACCCTGACACACAAAGTAAAGCCAAGTTTAAAACTAAGAAAACCAGAGAGGAGCACGTTTGTTCTGCACATGGACCAAAAAGAATGAAAGAAGAAGAAAGCAGCGGCGAGCATCATCATCATCATTATGATCATCTGATGATGTTTGATTTTCTATTTTTACCAAAACGCTCCACCTCATTATTTTCCTCCTTTTCTTTTCTATTTCCTCGTTTTTCATGTAATTTTCTCCCAGATGTAGTTGAAGCTGCACCTCTCAGCCTCTCACTGGACGTTTCCTCCCTCGGCGGCCTGCAGCTGTTCTGTAACCCGACGACTCGAGTCCGTCGCTCTCACTCGATAAATCCACGTTAGACATCGATCGCTATCCTCGGTCAACCTTCAACTCCTCCGCTCACATTTCCTGTAAAAGTTTGTGGGATTTCAGGTCTGGGAATGTGTGACAGATGACCGAGATAACTGGAAGCTTGCAGCTCTTCATGTTTTTGTGAAAGGCGGCGAGATTTAGAGCGCATTAAAGAAGCAGTAAATCACAGATAAGGAGTCCAGTTGTTCTGCTCGTGTCTAAAGTTGATTTAACGTCAAAGAGAATCTGTAGAGCAGGACGAGCTGAGCTGATGAAACTAAATTAAATGTAGAAACAAACATTTATCCTCAGTGGAAGCTGCATGAAGTCAAAAACGTTCATGTGATGTCAGAAACAAAACTAGTTGACTCTACATTGGATGAACTTCCCGTCAATCATTTCAACCACATCTTCTCAGAAACTGCTCACTTAATTTCAGATTGCTTTCCGAAGTGAGCATGGCAGATGGAGACAAGTACAGTCACGTTCCAGCGCTTTGATTCGAGTTAAACATGACGAAGTTCTTCTTTTCCTGATCAGATGTTGTGTTCAGGGTCACTTCCTGTCCGAGGTCTGGATCATGTTCTCACAGCAGTTTGTTGGGAAGAGACTGATGTTAGGAAACAGTTCAGATTAAACCAGACTTATTAAACTGAGTCTGTGTTTATGATGTCCTCTTAAAGGTTCATATGAGCACCTGAACGCACCCAGAACCTGTGTTTTGACATATTTATGAGTAAAGAGAGCTGCTGGAGAGACATAAAGGGAAGCTGGAAGCCAGCAGCAGAATCCTCGTTAAGAAGGTGAACTCGTGATGAGAGATTAGCCGTTCCCAGAGAATGTGAGCAATTCTTATTTTTGGAAGACTGTCCGCCTCTCCGTCTGATTTCCACATCGTGCGTGATGCCTTTTGAAGAGCGGGAGTTCAGGGAGGAATGCCGGATTTGTCTTTTGAGCGCTGCATGCGAGGAGGGAATTACGGAAAAGTTCAAATTAATAGCGCGATATCCTGTGTGTCTGTGAACGCAGGGTGACGGAGCTGATGGGCTACACCCCCGAGGACCTGCTTGGGCGCTCCGTCTACGACTTCTACCACGCTCTGGACTCGGACAGCGTCACCAAGAGCCACCACAACCGTGAGTCCTGCATGTGCACACTCAGAGGTTTAACATGAAGGTCAGGGATGGAAGTTAACCAAACATCTGACCTGATCGGCCCTTGCAGAGAACATACATGGACAATGTTTAGTGGGCTGTTCCTGACAAAAAGCAGCGTATAGCACATTAATCTTTACTTTTTACATTAGGTATTGCATGCAAATGCAACAATTAATGCACATAATTAATTAATGCAGCATTAAATGTCACATATGAATCTTTATCCCTATGAGGAGGACAAGCACAAGGTTTTTGTTTTATGCTCCTTGGTGAAGTGTTTCCAAAAATCTGATAAAAATAATCACAAAAAGCACCTCAAAGGACAATTTTAAGGCAAGAAATAGGTGCAGTCGGGCATCTAAGAGACTAACAGTCAGAGAATTAACAGTAATGATGTTACTGCAAAGTGAAATGTTGTTTAAAGCTGCTTTACAACAGAAACTAAATAATTTGAGGTGATTACAGCCGTGTGTTACACCAGTGATTGCAAATAAAATACTTACTTTTGTCATGTGCTGAAACTGATGATAAATGCAAAAAAGAGAGGAATAAAAGTGGTGTAACACCCAGAATATATTTACTGTTTATAATATAGCATCTCAGCTCACATGTTGTTGTTTTTATGTGTGTATAATATGTAAAAGTCAGACACGAGTTCTGCTCAACATGAAGTGTGGGTTCATTCTAGAGCATCCTAACTGTGTTATCTAACGGGGTTAATGGGCTAATAAAGGTTTAATTAGGTTGATAATTATACAGCGTCTTATGAAACGTGCTGTTGTGTAACGCTGTGTTTATTACTAATATACAAACAATGATCTGTGTTTTCTGAATGAAAGGTCAGCGGGACGTTGGAGAGTTTTATAGTTTCAAAGGTCAGCAGTGCTGAAGTCAGTCAGAGTGGAGCGAGACAGGATCAGTTCTGGTGTTTTATACAGAAAATACTGTAAAATAAAAACACACATGAAACACACTCATGATGTAGATTTAGTTTGAGAAGCGGATCACAGAGTAGAAACTGAAACCAGCGTGAACTAATCCGGCTTTCTTATGTTTTCCTTCATAATCGTTGGTGTTTTTCTGCGTGTGTGTGCACAGAGCAGGTTTATAGTATTAAGATGTGTTTTTATCTAATTAAGCGCCGCCACCGACGGCCTGATGAGGTTTGCACATCTGGTGCCGTGGACACGCTGGGACCAGGTGGCCTCCATTACAGCCTAATGACAGCCAGCGTGCCGGGTGTCATGGATAGTCTCTGACAGCGCCGTGCCATTAGCAGCTCTGACAGGAAACGTGGTGATTCGGTTCCTTCAAACCGCCGCTGCAACATAAAGGCAGCGTGTGGACGCACATACAGCGAATGGACACTGGAAAAAACACACCTCCTGATGTCTAAACGTAGAACAACACTGGTTTTGATCTTTTATTTAGCTGACAACAGAATAAACTCCTCAGACTGTTTGACTTCTATCAGCTACACAGAAACCCAACAAATAAAGCAGCAAGCAAACGTCTGATGAGCAAATCTTTCATCAAAGCAGATCAATGAACACGACGTCAAACAGAATCCTGTCAGCACATATTGATTCAGTGGTTTGGTAACAAGCTGTCCCTCAGTCCTGTAGTTTCAGATTTGGCCTAAAACTCTGAACCCAACGTGGTTTCTGGGCATTTCTGGCTCCGACATTTGTGCTTACTGCACCAACCTCTGTGGAAACAGCACGACTAGAAGCTCATGCATGTCTGACACAGTTATAAAACCATTCAAAGAAAAAAAATTATTGTTTATTTTACAAAGCTTGAATAAAACTGTACTCAGCGTGTTTACAGCTTTTCCAAGTGCCCTCAGACGATACTGGGGTAAAAATAGCTTTGGTTGTTCTACTGTTTACATCTTTTATTGGTTTCCATATTTATCTGGACTCTGCTCGGTGTGAACACAGCCTGCAGTTCATCTGAGAAGGCCCGACGTTTCTGTTAGGGATGCACGATGTATCGGTATCGGCCAATACCAGTGTTTTTGTCCGATATGTTGGTATCGGTCCGATGAGCTAATTTAGCTGATGATTGTCTAACATCAGCGCCTTCGTCTCTACGTTTGATATCGCTGCTGTTTCACAGGTGTTTTTACCTAAATGCTCCTGGACTTAAATATGTTTTACTTTTGTAATAAAGGAGACCATGTGGTCTAGTTGGGCTTCTTTTGAACAGTGTTCTCACAGTGCTTACTGATGCTCATTTTTCGGTGGGAACAAAAATTGAATTTCGACATCGGTGATATCGGTTATCGGCGATATCAGGAATCTTAATATCGGATATTGGTATTGGCCAGAAATTTTAATATCGTGCATCACTGGTTTTTGTTACGTGGCGTTTGGTCACAGGAACCCGTCTTTCCTGAAACAAGCAGTGATTCTGTGCTAATGCTCTCATGGTCCAGTTTAATTTGGTTTGATTACTATGAATTCTGGTGGAGTTGTGGTTCGTTTAAACTCGTATGAATGCTGCCTTTGGAGCCTTCGTGCACAGAAAGCCTCTGAACAGGGAGGAGTAGGTCCACTTTTCTAAACTAACTCTGGTTTAGGCTCCATTTACTGAGCTGAACTACACCACAGACATCTGAACGAACCAAACACAGGAAGAAAAAACATGAGATTCCTGGTTGTTCTTGTCCAAGGAGAGATGTTTGGTTTGGACCTGCCGTTTACTTGCAGCATATCTTCATTTGGATCAGAAAGTTCTGGTGCTGTTTGACTCTTTTAAACATTTTAAACGTCTTTGGGGAGCACATATTTGGCAAAAACAGTTTTATTTACATAGCGCAGATCCAGAAAGTAGTTTAATTTTACAAATGTTAGAATCAAAAACACCTCCCCACCACATACGCTCACGTCTGAGGAGAGAATTCAGCCAAAACATAAACCTTGAACGCCGTCCAACAGGGCTGCAGCCTTATCCTGATTCCTTTCACTGTGTTTGGTTTGATGTTAAAATGCCAGTTTGAACAGGAACTGATTTAAATCTGTCATTTCCACGTTAGAGTGAACGCACCCTAAAAAAAACACATGCAGGACTTAAAATAAGCTTTCAGATGGCGTTTCTAGTGTTGACTTAATTTTTTTCCGCTGGTGCATCTGCAGTCGTCAGCTGACCGAGTTCAGCTCAGATAAAGAGCTTCTCTATCGCTGTGTGTCGCACAGACCAGCCGCTCTCACGGCCAACGTGACCAGCCTGTCGATCAGCTCCTGCTAGCAGCTCTGTGCTACATGTAGTGCTGCCCCGAGCGTCCTCACACACACACACACACACACACACACACACACACACACACACACACTCGGAGTCAGTGGCCTTATGTTCGCTTTCTGACCAGCGCTGCTCCTTTCCCACGCCAGCGCTGAACTCTGGACCGCCGCCAGCACATCTCCTTCTCAGCTCAAAGTCAAACATCCCACTTTGTCCTGCAGGCACGTTGGGCTGGTTTCAGGGCCTTGTGCAATACGAACACGCGGCTGTTAATACAGAACAAATAATAAAACCGTCCGAAGCTTGAATAGCAAAATGAAAAAATAAAAATAAGCACAAAAACACAGCACGTCTGACTCTGACTGCGAAGCTGCAACACGATGGAATGAACAGCATCCATGAACTACGACTGCTGTCAGCGTCTCAGAGGCAGATAAGGAGGATTTAACTGGACAGGAACTCTACACATAAACTCCCACGAGTCACTTGTACAACATCCAAACCTCAAAGGAGCCGTAGATGTGAATTCCTCATAGTTATACCTAAAGTAGACATTTTTTTTTTTTACATTTTAATGTGTCCAAGGGGACTGCATGTGAAGTGTTCTTGGTCCATAGAGGACCACGTGTCCCTCAGCTGATCAGAAAGCTTCAGAATCACCAAAACTGGAGATGTATGGATTTCACCTCAGAGACGATGTTTCTTGAAAGACGTCACAACTCTTCTTGGCATTTGTGTCGTATGAACTTCAGAGCTACAGATGAATATGTGAATGCTATGAGCAGTTTAAGATGGAACGTGATGGTCTGTCTGAGGTGAGCGCCTCATCATCAGACTAAGGCAGTTGTTCCTGCAACATAGAACCATAGAAGCAGCTGTTTGGTTGAAGCTGATCCACGGTTGGTGATCTGTCTCTTCTCTCTTTGCAGTGTGCACCAAGGGCCAGGCGGTGAGCGGTCAGTACCGCATGCTGGCTAAGAACGGCGGCTACGTCTGGGTGGAGACCCAGGGAACCGTCATCTACAACAGCCGCAACTCTCAGCCGCAGTGCATCGTGTGCATCAACTACGTCCTCAGGTGAGCGTCCCAGAGAGCTCAGCTCTGTGGAGAAGATGCAAATCGAGGCTTTGCTTTGACTCAAACTCGAGCAGATTTATTGAACAACATGTGACGTGCAAGATGTTGTTCATAAAGTCAGAATCTTTCTTTAAAAAACAACCTGTAAGGACGCCGTCAGACACGCTCCTTTCTGTTAATCTGACGTTATCTGAACATGTTGGTTCACGTCTGAACTTCTACTTTATCACACAAGTCTGAGCTGCACTGCGTTGTGTTATCAGACAGGCCTGCACATTATTACTGTATACTTCTGGTAATGTGAAGTGATTTGAGGACGACTTTGTCCACATTTTGAACATCACAAACACAGAAGATCACATTTATGTGACTTCATTTGCTGAAGGT